TATTGAAAAAGGCTAGCACCTGTTTTGTGGTAGGGGCATCTGTACAGAGGGGCTCCAAAGAGTTCTCCTAAACATTCCATTTTCTTTTAACTCCATTTCCCCATGAACATTTTGATGCCCCTTCGTATGTAGAATTAATTAATCTCAGGTGCTACACAATACGTATATGGAAATCACAACAGAGACTTCCAAAGGCCCTTCGTGGCACAGTGGTTTTCAAAGACTCAGTACAGACTTTCAGTACTCTCCCAGTTCTAAGGGTGGCTTTCTGTACAGAAGACACTTCCTTGGATTGTGACTGGTAGAACAATTCCCCACCCAAGGAACTGATTACATGGAGCAGTATCTGCCTGGAGGAGGTATGCACCTAAACACTTACTGCCCCTTGCCTTTTCACGTTTTCTTCCTAGGCAGAAAGTTAGCCGGACACCATTCTCTCTGTCCCTGACCTGCTTGTCAATTCAATTCATCCACAGAAATTTTGAACCTGTAATGCAGAACGAATTGAAGTAAATTATCTCCCCTCTTTCTTGAAGCACAGGAAAGCAAACATCCAAACCCAATGCGATTGAGTGAATACAGACACACAGCAACTCTATAGGGCAGAGCAGAACTGTTACTCGAGGTACCAGAGACTGGAAACGTTCCCAGGAGCAGACACCCTCGTCTTTCTCCTGTGGAGTGGCTGGTGGATTTGGTCCGCTGTTGACCTGGCGGTTAGCAGCCCAACACTTAACCTACGACACCACCAGTAGTCCTATATAATATGTCTGCTCGATTACACAAAATACATAAACAAGATGACAACGGAAGATTTGTGAGACATGCTTAGGGTGTCCCAAAGTAGGCGTAGAAGTCATCTCCTTGCTCTCTTCCTAAGTGGCTCTTTATAGACATTTAGGTGACTAGACAATTGAATGAAGGGTTCTATCACAAGGTGCTTACCCCAAAGGCTATATAATTTCACAAATGGTCTAGAATTTCTACCATGGCCTGGAAATTCATATGTAGATATGTCTTACTGCCACGTGAAGAACAGAAATATTTATGAGAAAACATTTAATATGGTCTCAATTCTTCATTTTATAATGAAAGATGAATTCTAACGATGAAAATCTGAAGAACTGTTTGTTGAATTATCGTACATAATACATAACCTCCCTGTGGTTCAGCTCATATCCAATTTGCTCACATTAAAACCATGCTCTTAAAATAAAGAGATATAAAAATATTTACTCCATACCTTGGGCAATTCCTGCCTCTTAACATCAGTGTAACAAAGTGTTCTATTTACTTAGGAAATTAAATGTGCACTAAGGGTTTCAATCCCTTATTTAAATGCTCGGTATGGCAGAGAATACCTAGAGAACAATTTTTTAATAAGCAGTAATTTACATACTGTTAAATTCCCATGAACCTTAAAAGACTTTACTGATATATATATATATATATATTAAAAGTTTCTGAGCAAAGAGAACAAAATTGTCCTCATTTTTCTCCTCAATAACTCTGGCAATATGACCCAGTAGAAGAGCCAGCCTTCATACTCCCCGTCAATTCTGGAAAGTACTCAAGCCAACTGCAACTCAGGACTGAATGACAGTAAATTCATTCTGTAATGAGGAGGCAGGCACATTACGAGGCTAGGGCTTTATCTGCAAATTGGAACAATGTATTTAGAGTCCATACTAGTCAAGCATAGGAAGACCTGGTACTTTGTCTCAACAGACATTTACGCACACCAATTTGCGCCCATAGATATCAGTTTTACATAATGTACACGTTAAACTAGTTTTATACAATAGGAAATGGACTGTCCTTCTTTTGTCTTGATCAATAAATAATGATTAAATGAAAGCAATGGGTGATTGAGACATCGCAACCAACTCCCAACAGAAGAACCAGATGAGTATAATCCTGTAGAATAGACACTTTGGGGTCTCTATGAGTAGAAATCGATTCCATGGCCCCCGACACCAAGAAGGGTAATGCTAATGATCCTTCCCAGTGCACAAATAGTTCTCTCTCGTGCTTCTTTGGAACTCTCTATGGAAAGACGTATTCTTCCACTTCTCACTGGACAAGCCCATGAACCTCAAAGATAAGAGTTTCTGAGTTAAGAAAGTCCCCACTCATCACCAGTTTCCTAACAATGGAGTACTGAGTGGGCTGTGGGCTGGGTCCCAAGGTCACAGTCACCGTGACAGTATCACAAACTAGGGATGCTTTGAACTGCCAATCTAGGAGAACTTCTCCCTAAGGATATGAAGATACGAAGAAAAAAACTAGTTACTTTAAAACTGGTTCTCAACCTGTGGGTCACGACCCCTGTGGGGGTCAAACAACCTTTACACAGGGGTTGCCTAAGACCATCAGAAAACATGTATTTCCGATGATCTTAGGAAGTGAGACACCATTCCTCTAACTGTCTCCAGGAGGGTCTGCCCACATGTAGATATGCCCACATATGAGTACCGGGTGTAAAGACTGTTACCCATGCTGTACCATGCTTCAAGACGAAATTTCATTTATTTGTCATTAGAAATAAATATTTCACAATATATAATTATATATTGTTTTTGTGATTAACCACTTTGCTTTAATTATGTTCCATATGTAACAATGAAAATACATCATGCATATCAGATATTTACATACGATTCATAACAGTAGCAAAATGAGTGGTGAAGTCGCAATGAAAATAATTTTATGGTTGGGGGTCACCACCACATGAGGAACTATATGAAAGGGTCGAGGCATTAGGAAGGTTGAGAACCACTGCTTTAAAAGGCCTCCTCTATTGGCTCACTCATTTACTTTCTCTCGCTCACAATGGAGTCATACAATTGGCTGACTTCAAAGAAGTACTTCAGTTTTCATCAAATTTGACTTGATAAGTTACATATTTTTTAAAAAAGGCTCCAAGGCAGCATCAGTTCATGAAGCAAGGTGTCTTCCCTAGAGCCTACAACTGGATTGATGAGTCACACTATGTGTGCACACTGCTGTTCTCTTTCTGCACTGGGTGATGAAAATCTTAGGATGAAACTGATTGCAAAAAGAATTCACTACTGCAGCTAATTCTCACTGTATGTCATATATGTGTGTTTATTTATTTAAATCTACATGCTACTTTGCTAATAATCAAAGATACATGAAATAAAACAAGGGGCTTTTGGATTTGTTTCTGGTTTTTGAATTTGATATCTAAGTGTTTCACACTCCCCTCCCACTCTTGTTTCCCCGCTTGCTGCCAGTCCTTAGTAACCACTAATCTTCTCTTGACTCAGTGGATTTAAGGGAAGGTACGCTTTATGTTTATTAAGTAAGTGAAGATGAATTCATGATAATGTCTAAGTGCTGACAAGGCTATGGTCAAAATGGAACACTCATGAAGGGTTCGTGTGGGGTTTAAGATGGGATAATGCATTAGAAAAGCAAGCTGACTGTGTGATTCATATATCATATTGTATTTGTGAGCTTTGAAATGTATTGCTGTTAAGAATTTGCCCTAAAGAAATATTTCAAAGGAAGAAAAAATATCTTTGGTGCAAAGCAAATATTCACCACATTTTTTTTCTTTCATCGAGTTATCAAAAGCAACTTAAAATACTCACCATGAGGGTAATGGCTAAATTCATGCTTACAAATTTTGATATTGAAAATTAAGATAACAACATGGAAAATGCTTGACAAAAGATATAAAAGCATGCTTTCATAAAGACTGCAAGCACATCGAAGACAACATATGGATATGAAAAAGAACAAGGAAATACATCAAAGTTGTGGTGGCTGTTGGGAGCTACCTCCTAATTTCTTGGAAATTTTTGTGAAATTATTTAGAAGCTGTTAAAATTTGAAAATGCTTTTCTAAAACTAGCTTGTGTATCAGTCATTCTCAGTGAAAAGACTTCAAGTCAAAACTTGGTACCAGAAGCCAGCCTCGGCATATAAATTTAGTAAACCTGGGTAAAAAGAATAAATATCAGGCTCCATATTTGTAGCCCCTCCCACCCCAAGCCCTGGGTTAATTATTGGGCCAGAGACAGTTGGAAAGTGAGGTACCTTCGTGAGACACAGGGGTTCTGAGAAGAGAGAGGTTCTAAGATGGATCTGCAGGGAAGAAACATGCTTAACTTTGGCCAGCCCCCAAGTTCACGAGCTGTGCATGCTCACGCCAACCTCTGTTCATGGAATACCTAGGATTGTTCTCACCAGAGTTTGGGGATTCAGCTTGAGGATGCTCAAAGGAAGGTATCTCAGGGGTCAGCGAGAGGTTTTCAGACTCTCTATGTTGGAGTTCCTACAGATATTATACCGTATCCTTTAAGCAAGGTAGAGAAAAGGCTGGCGAGCTATTGATCCATATATGCTGCTACTTTCAAACAACTTCATCCTACACTAAGGTGACCAGTTTTAAAGCGGGACACCATTGACGGGGTGGGGTGGGGGGGTATTCTTGATTAAACATTTGGTCTATATGGACCAACCAAATAGACCGTTTCCTAGCTTGTCGTGCATTTTTTAAAAAAATCAGGACTTTTTAAAAACACCAAAAATTGGGACTGTCCCGCCAAAAGCGGGACGTCTGGTCACCTTATCCTACACACCGGAGGGAAAAGCACCAATGCAATAAACCCTCTAGGGCACAGGCTTGGGATGCTTTCTGGGTGCTTACAAAAGGGATTCTGATCAAATGCAAACATGACAGCAGTTTCTGGAAAGAAAAGGCATTCCTCCTTTGGAGTTATGAAGTGGCAATCAAAGACATCCAAGTAACCCATAAGAGAACCAACCACTTTCCTTTTTGGATATAAATGTATTTGTGCGCATGACATATGAGAAAATAAAGCATGTACCCTTTTGAAGGTTAAACGTTTACTAGGCTCTATGCCAGTGGTTGTAGGATGCTTCCACATGGCAAACCTGAAAGCTAAGTGAGGAGCAAACACAGCCCCCACCCTCTTCCATACAGTTCCTTAGCACCATCAGACGGTTACCTCTGGTTGAAGTGTTGCTTTCATGCAGACTTGGCAAAGAGGTCCATTTCGGGAAAACTGAAGGGGAAGGTGCCGAGTTCGATTCCGACATGTCTGTTCCTCACATACCAACCAGCCCTGGTAAAGAAGAAGGGGAAAAAAAAGTCTATCACCAACAAATACAAATAAAAACCCTTTCACTACTGAGATGGGCCTATTTCGTTCAGACCTTCCTGAAAGGCTAGAGTAACCTTTCTCTCCTTATACATGAATTCAGTCTGTTCCCTAGTTAAAAAGAAAAAAAATATCACAGGCAGTATTATTCTCCTTGCCCAAGAAAAATTTGTATGATGACATGCAGAAGGGAAGTAGTTACAGCCAATGGGGCTTGGGTACATTCATGAAGATCATTACCAAAGGAGTGTTTTTAAAATTTCGTTGCTTAGCTTTCTTCTCTGTGAAATGGGTACAATACCAGCACTTATTGGTTGTAAGGATAAGATATACACTTTTTAGTGCTTAGAACTATATTTGGCATAAAAAAACAGGAAATTTAAGCTTATTTATAATGAAAACAGACACTTCTTTACACATCTTCTGGAGGTATAAAATTGGCGGCGATGTATCCAAGGACAACTGCCCCCCACAGTAGTTTCAAAAAGCCATCACCCACATCTTTGCACTTTGGGGTCCTCTCTTCCTTTTCCTTCTTTTTCATACTCTTGTTTGAATTTTTCCTGTACAATATGCACAAAAGTCAAACACTAGATGAAGTGCTAGGGCAGAAAGGCAAACAAGGCATACTGTCTCGTTTGGGGTGTTTCCACCCTGGCAGTAGCAAGCGGGGTCCTGCCTGCCCGTGGGCTTGGAAGATGTGTAGACACAAGTTTGGTCTGTGGAGACAGCAGGTAAGCCTCCGGCGGAGGAGAGCAACACATGCATTAGACTGAGGACTAGCGTTGTGATATGATTTCAATAACATTTAGAATCCCATCCCTAACTTCTAGATGGGATAAGTTCTTGGTCCTTTCCCTCAAAATAAGAGCAACACATACAGTTGTGTTGCTTCATGCACTCACTGCCATCAGGTCAATTCCAACTCATAGTGACCCCATAGGGCAGAGTAGAAGAGCCCTTGTGGGCTTAGAAACGGGAACTGGGTATGGGAGGAGAAAGCTTCATCTTTCTCCCGAGGGAGCAATTGGTGGCTTTGAACTGCTGATCCTGTTCGTGAGCAGCCCGAATTATAACCCACCATGTCACCAGGGCTTCATCCGCTGCCTGTCATCCAACGCTGAGGGATATATAGCCTCATTCTTCAGACGAGGCTCTTCCTGGAAGTAGCTATAACCAAGTTCAAGGGAAAGAACCCAGAGTCACTTCTTCTAACTCGAATTATGGCTTTCCCACAGGGGGAAAGTGTATGGCAGAAGGTTTGGACTAAAAATATAACCCTACTTTTAAAGAAGATAAAATCCATCTAGTTAAGACATGCACTCTAAACTTCATCTCTTCATTCAACAGTCTGAACACTATTAAAATGTAACTTTTCACTTGGAAGATCTCAACGAGTCCTGGGGAAACCTTTAATATATGGTCAGCGATTGTATTAAACACCACAAGGAATAGTCAGAGAGACGGCAGACGCCAAGTTCTAGGCAATTACTATCGAAAATGGAAATCCACACCCACAAAGACTAAAAGCAACTCAATATGGTTTGACTTGAGGAACCGACTCCAAATGCTGAACAAAACAGAGAGGGGATGGAATCCTGTGAACCCTCTCTACTTGAATCAACCAACAACGCCCACAGCTGTAGACCAAGACTCAGTGTGATTTTTCTGTACCATCTGAAAGGATAAAGTAGTGAGACCCTGACAACCGTTCCGATTCTAGGGACATTTACCACATTTTCTTGACTTCAGGACTCTTTTGATTCACATTTTCATATTCCTGAAACTCAGATGTACTTACAATTGACGTGCACACTTAATGAGGTATTTACCTCTCCCTGAGAAGTGAAGAGAGCAGCTCACAATTGATGGCCCCTTAGAATTAAATAAATAACAGACTTGGGTTGAGCTATCTTCCTGGAATGGGCGATACAGAGGTAAACTGTGGATCTGATAGCAGTCATAGGTATTCGATTTTACATGCAGCCTATAAATACAAAAGGTGAGCCAAGTTCTTTCTGGAAGCATCCATTGTGAGCTATGAATAAAGGACACAGTCAAATTCAAGGAAACCACATGTGAAAAGTGCAGGACTGCACCATGCCTTGATCACTTATTTGGGTTGTGACAGTGTAGCTGGTATTGGAGGCTTTACCCATTTTGGAAGACGTAAGACCGTAAACATTGCACCCATAGTCATAACCCATTTGATTTGAAAAGCAGTAAAAAAAAAACCACAATGAGATTAATAAGCATCGTGTTTGGAAACAATAAATTATTCTGGACCAGAGTAGAGTCTCGAAGTTCAAGTTCTATCTTAATTTTTGAAAATAGTATTCTGAGATTTAGAATTATTTTTAGCTCTTTTTGAAACGACTCCTTCAATTTACTACAACTTCAGGACTCACTGGGTGTGCTGCCAACCAGGGAGATGCTAAGTTGTCATATCACCTGTTTTTAAAGCAAACACCTAACTCTATCTCTGACACAGCTACTAACTAAATATCCTTTCAAATCATAGAGAAAACAGATAATTTGTCTCGACTTCCTACCAGTTATAATTAACATTAGAGAGGTCTTTTCTTCGTTGTCACCTCTCTATTCAGTACTTATTTGGGTTTTGTTTGTACTTACTATCTGTTAATCTCCCTTTACAAATGACAACAATAACTAGTGCTATTATGCATGGAAATTAAACATGCTTATAACTGTGCAAAGGGAACTGGGGCCGAAACAAAATTATCAGAAGCCTGTAACGCTTTATGCCTCTTGTTTTATTTTGATAATTAAGCGTTTGGTCATGATGTGTTTGAAATACAACTTTTCTGTGGGGGAAATAGGCCCTAATCATATTCAATATATGCTTTGCTTCAATTTAATTTTGTTAAGTACATTTGGTCTAACCTTTCATCTTCTGCGCGCACACACACACACACACACACACACACACACCTCACCCCTGCCATCCCTGCCAACCCATATTAATTGACTGTGAATGCTCACTTAAAAGGAATATTTTTTGGGGGAAAAATTAATGTGCCAAGTCTTTAAAAACAAGCCATAAAGAGGCAGATCTCACAGTGAATTTGTTCCTCTTGGGGGATAAAAAGGAAGCAAATGACAATCTTAACATTGTGTTAAGTTCACTTTGACTTATCACATACAAAGAGAGAAGGAAACTAATTTTCCGCTCATTTTGGGAAATAACATACTATATTGAAAAGGATGTGTGTGTGTGTGTGTGGGGGGAATTCAAGCATCGTTTTTTAGAAGCCAACCTTATAGGGTTTGGGATTAAAATTTAAAAAAAACAAACAAACCCAGAACCACTGTAAGGATGTCTGCCACCACCACCTGAAAATTGCTCTAACCAACAGGAATAAGGTCAATGAGCTTCCAGGTGCATAACTCACCCACATTTACAACAGTAGTGGTTCCCAACAAATCTTTCCCCAAACATACAAGAATCTAGCACCTGTTGCTTTAGTCTCAGCATCACTAATTCCTTAAAATCAGTGTGTACGAAACTGTGTCAAATGCTGATTGGTTCTGATTGCTAAATTATATTACTGAGGCCTCAAGCAAAAAGGTTTCTGTGTGTTCCTGCTAAAAAGGGATCGATTTCCACGTGTCACGGAGGCGGTCCTGCCAGTTGCACCTTCATCACAAACTGGTTCATTTGTGTACGTTTGTAATTTCAGGAGGAAGCACGGGCACAAATCATCCAGGTCTAGAACTGTGGGGGCATGGGAAGCACTCAACTCAAATACCTTTAGAGTACAATGAATGCATGAAAGCAGTAAGAGAAAAATACAGGAAGAGCAAGTGTATAAAAAATATGAAGACTTTCCAATTGACAGGAGAAAAACAATTCACCGTCGTTCTCATACTCTTGATATACCTCCCTCCCTTGTAGGTCCTTCTCATCCTCCTGTTCCTCATCACTCAGTCTGCCCACTCATCTTTCCTGTAGAGATTCAACTTGAGACCCTTTCCTTATTACCCCAACCTTAAACATGCCCAACCCTCAAAGTTATTCTTTTGCAATAGTCTTCTACCTGGCTTCCTTGACCCCATTCCCATCGCTGGGCAATGAAGAAGACATTCTGACATTTGAATCTTTGCCATCTGATTCCCTCCACCCTTTCTCACCATTCTCTTGCCCCATTTCCATCCTTACCAACTTGTTCATTTCCCCTCCTTGTCTCTGCTCATGCTATAGAACCTCTTGCCTACAATGCCCATTCCTTCAGCAAAATTCTGCTCCTCTTCTGCAAGATTCTCCCAACTCACAGGGACGTCTCTCTAGTGCACCTGAGCCTGAGTACACTTAGCTTTGGAAGGCCCTCTCACCATCTTGTTTTGTCCTGGGAAATGATCAGCTTTGGATTCTGTAGTGGCCTCACCAGCCACGGGCACAATGGTCCCCTCTCAGGAAGTAGACCATGTTCCCCTTTCAGTTATTCATGGTTAACTTTGAGTAAGTCACTGAACCTCTCTCTGAGCCTCCTCTGCCTCCTTTAGTAAAACGGTTGCTGATGATGCTTACCCTGTGATGGTTCCTCACAGGATCACATAAGAAAGCTCACAGGGAATGGCTAAGCAGTGTCAAATTATTGTTATCCCATATATGGCCAAGTACCCAGGACCATCAGAGCTGGACTACAGCTGGTAATTGTGCTGCATAGAGGGTCACCAGGAGTTGGAATGAACTCGAAGGCGTCTGACAGCATGTTAACTGGTACAGGACCTGGTCAGTTTCCACCTGAACAAAGCGGAGAAATACAAAGCAATAACCAATTAAGATTTGGTGGAGCTGGTCGCCAGTATGACTGCAAGATAACTATGTACTCAGTGTAAATGAAAATTCTGTTAGGCTTCACCTGATGAAACTCTGTTGCCAAGTGCCATTGAGTCGAATGAAACACTGCCCAGTCCTGCACCATCCTCACAATTGTTCCTCT